TTCAGCAGATAGGGCTTGGAGCTACCCGTAGGTCTGGAGATTTGGCAGCAAGGAAGTGGTGGCACCACTCTCCTGGCACCAAATTTCTAGCCCCACAGGGAGCCCCACCGGCCAGATGACATGGTGTTGTGAGATGGATCTAGTCCATGGGTTGAAGGTTGAGCACCCCTGTCCTATGGCAAGAGACAGGAAGGAAGAGGAAACCACAGAGAAAGTGAAAAAGAACCAACCAGGGCTACAGGATGGGAAGTGTCAACTCAAGCCCCCTCAAACAGCTGTTGAATGATTGCAGTGAGTGACTGAAACCCATACCGTCCTACCTGGCAGCACTTATTGAGCATTGCACATGTCACAGGAACATAGGACAACCTCCCTAGGCAGCTTGCTCCACTGCCCTACTGTTCTTGTGGGCAACACGGGAGACACAAGGCCTAAGGAAGGGTTTGAACGTGGACGGAAAGTACTCTGTGCATTAGGTGGTGGTGGTGCAGAGAAAGGGCTGTGGACAAGAGTGGAAGGAGAAGGGGGTAGAGCCAAGGTGGAGAATGGTATGAGAGAGTTGGGCGGATTGGGAATATGCATGGTCTGGAAGGGGAGGGCAAGAGCTTACATTTGCTGTGCTGGGACCCGAGGGAGTTTCAAGGAGCAGTATGCTATGCAGCCACATCCATGAACAAGGAAGACCATTGTAGCAGCTGTGCTGGGGATGGACGGGAACAGGCAGGCTGCATGGGCAGCAGGCCAGTCAAGGACAGCAAGGAGACAACTGTGTCGCAGCCAAGTGTTTGAGTTGCCGGGGCAGAGAACGGTCCCTTATGAATCAATGCTTCCCCAGGAGGATAGAGGACCAGGCTGCCGGGTTTTCAGGGAACCAATCTTTGTTGCAGGGTTTCAGCAGCCAGTTCATGTGTGCGCTGCTGGCTTGGATAGATACAAAGGAAACCCAGCCATGTGGCAGTGCTTCATCTAGGAACATGCTGGGAAAGCTCGGGAGCATACCAGCTCCTATCTAAGGGCCAAGCATCGATTGTTCTTGGAGCTTTCTCCCAGAGGAAACGTTCAGCTGGCTTCCCCATTACCTCCTCAATAACTTTCCCCCAGCTCCCTGCTTTACAGATTAGAAACAGCTGCACAGCTGTGCTTTCCAAATCCGCCTGCTTTTTTGAGAGGAACCGTGCAATGCTCAAATTCCACTGGCCACAGCCAAATTCCACCCCGTAAATCACTCCCTCGGAAACCTCCTACAAGAGTTGGGTTGGGGCACGGGAGAGAAATAATCACTTGGGAAACCACAGTGAGCTGCAGTGTGCAGGCCAGGAAGACTCCTTTACGCCAAACTCAGGGGTGCTACGCTGGTTGAGAAGGGGTGCAGACTTCATGGATTAAAGCAGTGAAACTTGAGCAGCTGCATGTAGGTGAGAAAAGCCACTTCTTCAGAGGCAAGCGGCATCGTGGTAAAATAAGTAAATATTGTGGCCACAAGACTAATCTCAACAGAGTCTTGGACTTGAGAGCTTTGATGTTTAGGAGCTGCCTTGACTAATCTCCTTCCCCAGCATGTCCGCAGCCCAGCAAAAGAACATGTGAAATTGTGCAAATCCATGAAAACCTGGGAAATGTATGAAGGGCATGAGAAAGCCGTAGCCCTGCATCGTTCTCACTTCACGTTGATTTGGAAATGACTTTCAACCCATTAGCATCT